TTAAGCCGGTTAGACTATCACGTCGAGGTTTTAACCTAGATTAGACAAGCTATCCTCGGCACCAAAAGTGGATAGACAGATCAAGAACGTAACACTACATCTAATGGAATAAATGCAGACCGCAGACAAAATTTCTCGTTAGTCATGGAAGATGCTCCATACACTCAGGGAGTTGCTCTGATGCTGTTCAATTAAGCACGAAATGCAACTAAAAGATGAGAATATCATGGATCCAGGATCATCAAAACATCATCCAAAACAATGAAGGAGAAAATCACGACAAATGTTATTCAATGTTTTGCACCCAACAATGATAGCAACGATAACTATAAAGATCAGTTCTATGAGAGGTTCTAATCAGTTATAGTGAAGTGCCCAAAAATGGTTCTCACCATCCTAATGGGAGACCTAAACGCCAAAGTCGGAGTGGACAACAGCAGATATGAAGATATCATAAGACGATATGAACTGGGAGAGAGGTGTAACAATATTCTCACACAAACGCATACACAAAGCTTTATGAATCTCATCGGACCACAGTACGGAGAACCAGATAGATCATATTTGCATCAATAAAAGATTCACAAGGTCAATGAAAGGAGTGAGAACCAGGTGGGGAGCTGACATGGCTGCACATCACCACATAGTTGTGACCAAGATGAAACCAAAGCTAAAATACGCTAGACAACTCGAGAAACAGTAACACAAAGCGTAATACAGCCTTTCAGCCAGATACTGATAAACTCAGATACCGTAGTTTAATGCAACTCTGAAACCTTACATTCTTGATCCATACGTGTGCTTTCTCTGTAGAAGAGCAGTTAGTATTATTGCATCCAGAATTTATTATAAAGTTTATCGACTTTACACCTTGTGGCAAAGATCGCGTATAATAAATAATTCTCTGAATGTTGACTGCCTTTCCCCTATTTGTAGCAATATCGAGAAATATGCCGGTGTTGCTGATGAGTGTGAGTGTTTGTAACAGTCTTGTTACCAACCATTTCGGGTTTCATACTGTAAGTGTTACGATAAATCAGGTTGCCAGAAATTTTACAGTTCAACTTCACTTTATTAGGGGACTTCATATGTTTGCCAATGTTTTATGCTGAGGTTAATTGACTGAAAATCAGGCAGAAATAAGTCGCTAATAGTCTACGAGAAGAAAATCACTTGATTTGTCTAGAAATTCGCTTACTATGTGACAGTGTTGCGCTATTATAAATTGAACAGTTGGGTGTTGCTACACGAATAATAACTGGTGCTACATAGACATACTTTCATGCCAAATTCACTCTGAGTGGATCAATAGATACTTCCGGGCCAGATATGTAAAGATTAATAAAAGGAGAGGACAAGAACCTCTGTTTCAACAGTTGATAGATTACAACCCAGTAGATGTGTGCCGGAAAAGGTGACTTGAAGAGCACGTAACCACTCTTCTCACACAAAATGAGTTCAATGTGACTAGGAAATTTTCAGACTTCATACGTCGTACTTATTGCTGACAAGTCTACTTTGAACGGCAAGACGCTTGAAATAAATCACTGTTTATAATGATGGACTGGTAAAGATAGCAGATGAGAAAAATAAGCGTTCATTACTCCTCACATACGCTAAAACATTGTGTTTATTAACGTTCGGACGATCGATAACAAGAGTAAGGTAACTTCCGTACTTAACGACGTGATATCTCAGTGGGATAGAGGACAATATATAGTTCAGAAGGAATCCCGTGCCCTACTCAGTACGAAAGTTTTTAAAGTGGAGAAATATAGTCGTACAGTATTCGCAGAGTTGTCTACATCTTCCCCACCCGTTTTCTAACTTCTGTACTCGTTAAGGTCACTCGGGTGGAAACAAACACTTTCAAACCCTACTAACCAGATTGGATAGCCAGTGTTCGCAAGCAACCAGTCCTATATTCTTATCCATACTGGATAAATTTCAATTGTAATTATAGTTTATAATCCTTTCGTGTACTCGATTCTTGGTGATTGGATGCTATGGGCAATGAATATATTGTTGTCAACGTTAGTGCAGTGCAACGCGTATATAGGTATGGGGTTAAAAAATATCAAGAATAACTTAATGTCAAATGACATTGTGTTACACAAGTATCGAGATAATTGTATCAATCAACGCTTAACCCATTTCATAATCTAGCTTAGAATTAAAATTTTCATAAGGTGTGTGCACATCTTGGTCGAAATCATGTTGGAGGCAGCAAAAAAGACATTCAGAGGTGCCCTCACCCAATTTTTTAAGCACATTGGAGCTTTCGTGCTTCTAAAAGTCCCAGAGGTATAAATATTCTGTTTTAAAATCATTTCATTTGTCAGAGAGGATAAGTTTGTGATCTAGATATCTTAAAGAATCCTTAAAAATAATTCTCGAAATAATGAAAGCCTGGTTAAACTCTTCGAATTCTCACTTTTCTACCTAGAGTCCTCTCCCTATTATGTACTAAACCACCTTGGGTTACAGGCTGTTTACATTGCACATCCGAATGAACTGCTTCAAATGATGTAAATTCTTTTAGTAAACTATAGGTTATTTCGTCAGGTACTAAAGACCCTCTGAAATCAAATCGGTTTAAAATTTTGAAGTCACTGAACAACTGAACAACCTTAATATCTAGAGCATGCCTAATAAGTCACGGGGTTGCGCGGGATAGTGCTTTATCAAAGTATTTTTGGAATATACAAGCTTTGTCAAGGCCGTTTCTTAGCAATTATGATGTAATATCATCCTCTTAATGTGGTGAGAAAGCTCTCCAGCTATCAGTTCTCATGCTTATTTAGTAAAATAGGCGTACTTAACTTTCTGTAGAGTCCTTAGCAAGCTTCGAGTGTCGTTTGGGTTCGAATCAATGCTACTGTAGAACAGATGGAGTCAGCATCTATGTCGATGACTTACAAAAGCTATTCGGTTTACAGATTTACTTGCCATTGCAGTTCTCTAAAGGGTTAATAAAAATTTGAAGGTGTTATCAGCTAGAAACTTTGGTCTGACGAGTGTCCTAATGGTGAACACTCTTCTAATATCTTGCCATGCCCAGAAGCCCCTGGTAATGTTTTTCTACCTTGGAGTCAACTGGTGAAAATACAGATCTACAAACTCAGAAATCTAAATTCATCGTATTCTTCTCTGGGATTTCACTTTTTACGGTCGTACCCGAAATCAAAAACGTCATTATGACGGTCAAACACGTGCGTGCCAACTGAATAGACTAATAATAATTTACTCTCAAACAACAGTCTGTTATATGGGGCATGCAAGTGTACATGCAAGAACAAATAGTTACGGAAGATACAGTCTTCACTGTAAAGGGTCACTCAGGTTGATATTTTATAAGGTACAATGGTCGTAGAATTATGGGGAATACAACCTCACACATGAATGTAAATAATAATAATAAGACTCGTATTGTCAGTATCTTACAGCCAGCCCACTTTGTGGAGGCTATTTTGCGACGTGCAACTGATGGTCGAGAATTAATCCACATAAAGCTGAGAGCTTCTAGAAACTGTGACCTTATATTCCTAGGGAACAACGGAGGTACTAATCATGGCACAGGACGAAGTCACCCGTTCCATACATGTTTTCGATGGTACATCTCGAGGGGCTGAAAAGAAAGGTAAGAAAAAGAAAGGACAAGAAGTAAAGCAGACAATATTCATGCCTATTGAAGCCGAGTCCTTTGTGGAAAAATAGTTAAGGTATGAGTACTTAGTCTAACTCTCTTTTGTTAAGGTACATTTTAAACAAGAGCATTCTAATATGATAAAGAAAACAAGCGTAAATATGGTATGAATGAACAGTACAATTAGAGGTGGTTCAAAAAGAAGCTGAAAGTATAGGATAATATATAGTTTTAAAATATAGTACTGAAAAAAGCACTCTGATACACAAATGTCTATCTCCTATTTTTGCCATATATCATACGATGTCGGCGGGGAGAACCTACTCACTGTTGTTGGGACAGCCACAGAACAGTTGGGATCAAGCTTACGTGTTTCCTTATTCCGAATCGTGAATTTTGTCTACCTACCCAGTATCGTCGGAGCTGGAGAGTTTTGTTGTCTCTGTGAGATGAATTTAGGTTCCTTCGCATATGGGAGATAAGCTATTTAACTCGTTTGTGAAATTTAGGATTTAGGCCTTAGTAAAGCGTGCTGTCTGGTAAACTATGTTGACTTTTTGATGAACATGAGTATTTTGCCTTGTATGTCAAACAGTCTTACTGTTGGCACACGGCACAAAGAGATAGAAGGGTTGTTACATGGAGAAATAGGTTAACGTTTTTAAGCAAGTTAGTTTTCTACGGAATGGGGTCGCTAACCTCATGCCCAACCATACTCCTTTATCCGGCTTTGGACCATCAGTAGCCTCCGGAATGGCTCCAGGCGGAGTTATAGGTACTGGTAGTGATATTTGTGGATAGGATGCATAGAAGTTTGGATCTACATTCTTCGAATAAGGTGAGGGATTTACTCTAGAGTGCGAAACGTCGAGCTGTAAACGAGTTGAGCTCAGGTATATTCAACTCTGGCTTTCACTGCGTTAATAATCCCGAGTGAATGAAGTTTAAAAGCAACAGTCATCGAAAAAAGAAGACTTTCAGCCGTTGATAACGTCGTAATTGTTAAGCGAACGTTCGAAATTATGTGATTCCAAAGAGGGTGAGAACGACAAGATTCAAACTTGAATTCACAATCTGCAGTAATTGTCGGAAAAAGGTTAAAATCATTTATAACATGACATAAAGAATTCCAGTGAGATTATCTGCTTTGGTTAAGGCCGATGGAGTAAATTGACATGGATACAGCTTAAAAATGATCCGCCAATTTTCTTTAGTAAGCGAAATAATAGAGTTTTATAGTTTCAACGTGCTTATTCCAATTTATATACTATACAATACTTTGTTTTTCTTCTTCTCGATTCCCGTCCTTGTAAATAGGCGCTGCGCTTGTCTTGTGTCGGACTTTTAACCTGTAATGACGTTTGATTGGTTAAAACATTGTAACTGTGGATCAGGCATGCTTTATACCTGTGTGAATAGTCTTCTAATGTTATTTAGTAGATTTGATTCAGCTCGCCAACAACGCTCTATCCTTAATCAACGTCGAGCCTTACATTCAGAATATTCATGAAATTACTCCTGCTTTCGTCTTTGACTTAGCAGTTGTCTTATTTGGTAGTGATATTTGTAAGTCGCCAAAATATTTCTTTTCATTATTAGTGCCTCGTCATGGTCGCACTGAGACTGAATGTGTAGAAAACTTTGAGGCTATTGTGTTCAAATTATCTGAAGAAATCGGAGTGGACTTGGATCACATTGTACCAGAAGATCTTATGATTGGAGAACCTAGAGCATTATCAGATTTTCTTGTTCTGCTAACCGCATTTATTGCCTACTGTCATGAATCGAACCTTTTGGAACTCCAAATATCAGACAATGAGTCTTCCTTTGGTTGTTCTGGCCGCTTGATTACTAACTCAAAAGTAACTTCAAAGACAAAGGAATTTCTAGGTAAGTTACATGCTTTTCCGTATAATATAAGTCTATTACTATGCTTACCACTATCGATCTCGGACTAAGCAATGTGTCTAAAGAATCTTATTAATATTGTGGCCTCGGGGTTCTCGATGGTTTTACTCCTGTAAACTGAACCAATCAGCATTTTTTAAGTAGTTGTAATGTTCATCTGTTAAATCTACCATGTTCTGTTTCCCACACTGTTTACAATCGTTTGAACTTTTCCAAAAGTGATTTTTGATGTCCCTTTGTGGGAAATACACAGCCAGATATTAACAGCGATTCTTAACCATGCTTCAGTCTCGCGTCCGTCTGATTCGCAATAGTTTTCTGTGAGTTTGCAGTCGATTTATTAAATATACACAAATACAAACTTGTTATATTTTTATTTGTCTACCATCTTACCCCCCTCCGAATGGACACCCCGCTGACGTTTTTTGGAATAACACTACCGTTCCATTATTTATCCGAACTATGAACGTGATTTAATTTGTGCCAAGCCAATCTCACATTTAAGCGGTCAATCGACGTCTCATCCTAGACTGATTGAAATGACTAAGTCGGCTGTAGTTTCTATTACAATCAAATATCAAAATAAATTAGGTTGATGTCTAGTAGTCAGTACATCAACATATGTAGATGAGTACTGGATGCGTTCGCATGATTCTGTAAAAATGGAGGGTTTTGTCTCGAAGTTTTTCGAGACGTCCGGCTAATAATTAATGGATCTCTGTAATCCTTCCAACTCTTGCGGTATGATGGTCTGTCTCGGGTAACTGTGAGTTAGATGACAGGTAGATATTGTCAAGTCAAGACATTATGAAGAGTTTATGTAATTACCGGGAAGTCTAGCGATCAGGGCATGCTAGCAAGGTGGAAACCAGCTACATCCGGTAACTCCCGCAGGCTCTTTTAACTGATTCGACCCACTCGGAAAAGAAGTTTAGTGTGTGAAACAAACTGAAGCTGATAGGGCGCCAATCAGCTACATCTTAGACGAATAATAGAGTTATTCGAGGAACATGTCAACTGATCTGCCCCTACAAAAACATCGATCAGGCTGTCCTGTACTCCATGAACGGTAAAGACTGCTCCATCTTACGAGGAGAAATTCTAAAGAGAACTTCTACTCAACTTTGTAATCGATGACATTCTGAAAATAGCTTTGATGGGATCAGGTAGTGGCAGTGCGAACCTGTTACACTGAGAAAGACTTTTTGACTGCGTGTGTGAATAATATTGCCTTACAGCGTGATGATACTCAAGCTATGTGACGTGTACTTATTCAATTGAAAATCAGTTTCCGTAAGTATGATATGTATTTTTCACCTAGATGCTAAGTACTTGTACAAGACTGACAGGAGCATTCCCATTCTGAGCCATTAAAGTGTCAGAAACGTTTATGTATCTGAGTGTTTGTGTGAGTTATGAGATTACTCCATGTATAGTGAAAGCCATAACGGCGTATGCCAACCCTGGGACATTTATAGTGCTATCGCTGTAAAAAGTCGGGTCTACAACGTGTCGGTGAGTGGTTCAGCTTTATACTTGTAAAACCTGGTTCTCTCGAGACGGGAATGTCCAGCCACTCTCTGTTATCGTTATCTCCGAGCGATTGATAACATTCAATTGTAAAACCGTGTTTGTAATGCTGAGGTTAAGTATTTCATGTTTGATTGGATTGGAAATTACTCAATTGGGATCATCATATGGAAACACCGGTTTCAGTGACGTAGACATGTAATACGAATGTCGTCCCAACAACTTCCACGTCTCATTATTTGCGGACGTTGAGATGACATGAAAGTGGAGAGATGGTATAAAAGAATGCTGTATCGAACTGTCGTCTGTCTATCTTTCACGACTCTTAGGTTAGTGTCTTAGAGGTGGTTCACCTCAATAGCTTGAGAGGTTATCGGATCTGCTGGGATCACCGGGTAAGTAAGTGAGGTTAGACACAGGGTATTAGGCAATAATGGTTAATCGGTTGATGAGGTTGCGAATTTACATCGACTGAAATGGTTGGGCCACGTGTCATGTATGCCTGAACACCGATTACCACGACACGCAATGCTGACTAGTGCTGGAGATGGATCGAAGAAAGTTAGGGGCAGCCAAACCAAAACGTGGCACCAATCCATAGTCACTAACTCCTAATGTAAGCCATGTGGTAGATGCAGATTACTTGGTTGGGTTCCGCGCAACCATCGTAACCAATAGTTAGAGACTGTGGGTGACATGGTTCAGAATCGATCACAATGGTGTAGGTGTATACACTCTCTGTCTTCCCTTAAACCATGAAATTAAAATTACTTTATATCTCTCTTTCTACGAACTAATTCTTTCTTCCTGTAAGTATTATGTCCTTATATGCAATATTTCCTTTATATATTACCATCATTGAATTAACTACTTCTATGATCTTTGTGTTCATCTTGTTGTGCTGATGTGGTATGGCAACTTGGACCGATGCATATAAGTGCCTGGCCCTACGTTGTAGCTGACTGACTGAGGAAAGTGTCTCATACACTGAAATCACTCTTCCTGGTCTCAAAAATATATTCTTTCAAGGTGCGGACAACAAAGGAGTGCTAGTCACCCTCATCAAGGAAAATTGACTGATTTATTTAGGTTTGGGAGCCTTTATTTGAGGGTTAATTTTACCTGACTGCTCAAACGAAAGTAAGTGGGGTGTTCTGGACTCCTACCTGTGGGTTTGAATTTGTGTACTTCAGTTGCTGAGTCACAACCTGCAGTTTTTTTTATCAATCTCTTACGTGCTCCAACAACCCTTTAATGTACATGGAGCTGTTTTTGAGTTATGTAGTTATTCGATCCTTAACAATTGGTTCTTAAGTTGAAACGCTTCATCTACTTCGGTTTGAGCGTAGTGGTAGTATCATAAACCACCTATTACTTGGTCACTAATGTGCATTATTAATATTCTGTACTCCGTTAATAATGATTGTCGCAATCAGCTCAGAGATATATAGTCAAAATCTAATATCTTTATAAAGACAAGCTTTATGGATAAAACCGTTGGCTGGAGTACGAACGAGAAACATTCTGGTGGTTTATCTATTCTTTCAATTCAAATCTTACTTATTTCCTTCTAAATTTTGCAAAAGCTAAAACTATTTAAAATTGAGCAGAATAGTGTTATTAATTTTAGTTTTAAGTCGTAAGATATTCACCAAAGTAAGCGATGATGCTCAGAAATCACAAGATAATATTTTTTTAACATACTTTGAATAATCTTGCACGGTATAAGCTAACACAGGTGATGTACTGTCTAACAAAGAAAGCTTTGGGACACTTCATGTTCCTATTTGCAAGGAAAACCCCAAATGCCCTGGTACGGCCGAGAGTGGGGAGAGTCCGCTCTCCCTCTCGAAATGCTCTCACATGGCCATGCGTATATAGCCTCTGCCAGGGAAGTCCTACTCACTGCCTTCTCGTGGCGGGGGTGTTGTTTACAAAAATCAGAGGACGAAAAGCGAATGTCCGGCGCTTTAACCGGACCCCAAACCAGTGGTGCACATGGGTTGGCTCCAGTATCCTGAAGGAACAAATGGCGTATGAACCAATCGTTGGTCACCGGCTACCATGGGACTGCATCTCCTCACGATGCTCCACTGCCTTGTGGGTCAGACGTTCAGGTCGAAGGCTCGGGGTGTGGCCCCCTAAGAAACCCATCTGCTTCGGTTTGGGCACCCGAGCAGTATCACAGCCCTCATACAAATCAGTTGAGATTCGTGTGGCGCATATGTACTTGGTGCCTCCCTGTACCTATACTATGTGTTAAAATAAATAAATAAATAAAATACATCTCATCGGTATCGATCACCAGTTGGTCAATTGCTATACTCCATAATGTAAGATCCTCCACTTTCAAAGCTGCTAAATCAAATGTATCACATGGGGATTTGTATTTCAAGGGGAGGAGTTTGTTTACCATAGCCGATACAGTAATACTGAGGAAGGTCGTTTACTGAATTCGTCCCATACTTTCCAAACCTTCAACTACAATACTAATAACCCAACGGTCTGTGAAGTCAGTTGTGTACAACCCCATTTAAAGTCGTCACTCCCATCATACAAAGTAGCGAAATATCTAATTACTGTCTTTGGGATGAATGATTGGTCACAAAACAAAACGTACCCATTATTAAGTGAACCGTCAATCGTGCATAACAGCAAACCGATGATCCTAGCCAAACCAAAGGACACAATGATATAAAGGACAATCCAAATTTCATCTACAAGGTAATCTATAGAAACTGAGGCCAGTGCTGCATTAAATAAGATAGCTGTCCTCCGTCAGCAACTATTTGTGCAGTATCACAACATGTCTTCACTTATACTAATGAACATGAGCAATTGCGGGCACATATTTGATCGAAAAAAACATTAAAATATTGCACAAAAGCAGTGCAGTCAACATCATTTCCATATGCGCATTTAATTTTACGAATGTTTTATCAAAGAATGTGACACCTTTTATAGAATTTCTTGTAAATCTAAATAAGCAAATTATTTGTTTAGCGCTAAGCTCTCTCAAAAGTATGTAAGTTAGTAAGCTTCAATCTGTTTTTGTGTAATCCGATAAGTTTGCTAAGTAATGAGGTTCCATATATCTCATAGATTCACACCACAACAAGATAGATGTACTGTAAATTTTTATCGGATTTCGGAGTATTACTTTTGCTGTACAGTCGGAGATAAATTTCGAGGTGATTTGTTGCTCAAGCGTGATTTCATTCTGACGATTATTTTTGGTAACAGCCTGAACGTCTAGATCGAAACGTTCACTTCACAGACACATCACCGTTTACCGTTTATAAAGATATACAGTGACTCTCTCTGTTTCAATTTATGGCTGTGAAACATGGCCTTTTAAAGTAGAAAGTACTCGTAGTTTACTAGTAATTAATAACAGACATCTCCAAAATATTATTCTTGTATTTTTTGGAAATACAGTATCAACAATCAAT